GACGACGACGACGACGACGACGACGACGACGACGACGACGACGACGACGACGACGACGACGACGACGACGACGACGACGACGACGACGACGACGACGACGACGACGACGACGACGACGACGACGACGACGACGACGACGATGATGATAATAATGATAATAATTATAATAATGATGATAATAATAATAATAATAATAATAATAATGATAATAATAATAATGATAATAATAATAATAATAATAATAATAATTAATAGTCATTATTTTATAATCTTCTCTTTCCTTACTTGTCCTAAAGCTGATAATGATTTATTGATGGCAGCTGCTTCCACTAGTCTCAGTCCAGTTGCTTCGCTCCTTGATATTCTCTCTGATCCTGCCAGATCAACTAGTGTGAGGCTACCTCTTGTGGTAGTCTTGGATACTGAATTATAAGAAACCAGGACCAATCTGAGGAGGAGATGAGACCTTGAACTGATGAGGGAGAGAGAGAGAGGGAGGAATATAGTGAGATATGGTATTAATGAATAGTGACTGTAGTGTATTGTCATTCAGTAATAATAATACAAAATAATACAGACATTTTTAAACAGGAGATTAATAAGTAATTGATCCCCTGGACTACTTATTAACCTCCTGGGGATCACTTGATGGTAAGTAAGTTATTTATAAACTGAAATCAAGTCCAATCTGATTTCTCAGTTACAACTATATGGATGTTATAGTATTATTGCTGTACCTGTTAGTGTTCATTTTAGTTGAAGCTGTTGTTCTGTTCTTTTCTCCAACTGTCATAACTTTAATAACATCATCAGTGGAACATACTTCAATCTCTGTCAACCCCTGAATACAACAAACAAATAAATAAATAGTATTATTATTATTATTATTTTATTTATTTATTTGTATCTTACTGGTACGTGTAGTTCTTTTCCTTTTTTGTGTATTTGAAGTTTCTCTTGTACTTCATTTGGTGACTTCAATAGATCATAAATTGACTCATTGTACACTTCAACCATTGACACCTAACAATGTACAAAATATCAATAATGAATCACTTCCCACACACCATAAGGACATCAATAGGTATCAGGAAATGTAGTAAAATTTGAGGTGATTTTAGAGCCATTTTTTGGGAAAAACCATGGGCTATGGTACAGGGATTTTTCCAGAATTTTGGCATTTATTTAAATGGCCGTAATTTGAAAAATTGAAGTTGGAATCAGCTCAAACTTGCTACACAGCATAAGTACATCAATATGTATCAGAAAATGTAATAAAAATTTGGAGTCATTTTGAAGCCATTTTTTGAAAAAAAAACCATGGGCTATGGTATAGGGATTTTTTCAGAATTTTGGCATTTTCTTAAAATGGCCGTAACTTGAAAAATTGAAGTTGGAATCAGCTCAAACTTGCTACACAGCATAAGTACATCATATATACAATGTTCTTCATTAATTGACTTACTTTCATTTCAAAGTCAGTTTTATCCTTCTCCTTCATGATTATTAAATAATTCCTTTATTGATCTTACATTAACTCCAGGGTTATCCCTTGGTCCCATCATAGTGTATGTCTTACCAGCCCCAGTCTGTCCATATGCAATAATACACACATTGTATCCATCAGCACATGACGTGATGATTGGTCTGGTATCCTCAAGTACCTGTAGAGTGAAAGGAGAAGAATAAAGAATTAATGAAAAAGATATTTTATAGTTAACTAGTCCAACAGTGCTAAGATGACATAAAGTAGAGCAAGAGAACTGTTTCCTATTGAAGTAATCATTAATGAATATACTGATTGATACTGATTGATACTGATACACACTGATTCAACTTGATTCACACTGTTTCATACTTGATTTCTAGGTTAAACAGTTTGAAAATCGACAGAGACAAGTTTTGATCAGTCCCCATTGAGGGGGAGGTGGGGGACGGGTCTGTGAAACTATTGATTTTTTGAGGGGGAGAGAGGTCGTGGTATGTTTTTTGCAAACAACTGTAACAAGAATTCTGTAATGGATAGACAGGCCCTTCTGTCATCATGTAGGAATGCATTTGAAAGAAGAGATCATGAAGAAGCTGTTTGGTTACTAGGTTTACAGGATCCTGAACTACTTTACAACAAGGAGCCTGACCTGCTTTATTATTCTATAAGGAATGGCTGGTTAGATGTTACAAGAGATCTCGTCACTATTTACCGTTTTGATCCACATAAATACTACTATAAAGGTGAATCCTATCTTTATACTGCTGCTAAAGGTAATCACGTTAATATAGTTGAATATCTCATTAAAGAGCGTGGCTGTAATCCAATGATGCGTTACTTATGGCTTAACAACTGTGATCCTTTTCTTCATTATGTAGCTAGTGAAGGATTACTTGATATCTTGAAGTGTATAGTCATGAACATCAATGGTCATATAATGGAGGAACAATATCGTACTACTAGTGGTCGGACTGTTCTTTATTGTGCTGTTAAATACATAGATGTTGTAAAGTACCTCATTAATGAGTGTCACTGTGATTATACATGTTCTGACAATGATGGAAATACTATTCTACATGCTGCAGCTAGTAAAGGATCACTTGATGTCATAAAGTACCTCATCAATACTCATCACTGTAATCTAATGACTACTAACAATAGAGGTGAGACTGTTCTATATTGTGCTGTTAAACACATAGATGTTGTAAAGTACCTCATTAACGAACGTAACTGTGATATAATGGCCACTGATATTCTTGGATATACACCTTTTCATTGTGCTGCTGATTGGGGTACACCTGAAGTTGTTGAATACTTTTTATCAACTGATAATTGTGATCCTTTGGCTAAAGACAATGAGGGGAGGACACCATTACAACTAGCTAAAAATAGAGGCTATAATAGTTATGCTGTCATTGCTATCTTCAAGAAGTTTGGTGACATTAAAATATCTCATCCAATTGATTCTTATGTTAGTGTTCTCCTTGTGGGCAATCCTGTAGCTGGTAAAAGTACTCTTAGTCATGTCATCAATGACACAGCTACTGGTTCTATTGTTCTTGGTTCTATTAGAAATGTTGGAGGGGTAGTGCCCTGTACTGCTGGCATCATTCCTTATAAACTACAACACAGGACACTGGGTAACATCATTCTTCATGATTTTGCTGGTCATTCAGAATACTACTCCAGTCACAGTGCTGTCATTGAGAATCTGTTACAAGGTTCTGGTGGTGTGTTCCTGATAGTAGTCAATATATTGGAGAGGGAAGCAGTCAAACAGCTTCATCAGTGGCTAACAGTTGTGAGAAATGAAGCACAGAAAGCTCTTAATGAATGCCATGTTATTGTAATAGTCAGTCATGTGGATGAGATAAGTAATCCTGTTGAAAGGAGAAGAAGGGAAGAGATACAGGAGATTATTAGTGAAAGGTGTGATAGTTTCTTTTTAGATTGTCGTAAGCTTGGTGGGAGTGGTGTGGATTCCTTCTTTAATAAGTTGTCTAGTGCATGTGAGTCCATTCGTAGTACAAGTGGAAGGAACTTGAGTCTTTATTGTCACATGATGTATGGTCTACTGGAGGAAAGGAAAGAGAATATACTGACCCTCTCTGATGTAATGTCTGCTGGTAAGGACAATTACGTTGTACCAGATAAGAGAGAAGAGGTTTTGGATGTTCTTTATTCATTGCAGTCAACTGGTTTGATCAGTGTTCTTAAAAGTAAAGACAAGGTATGGGTTGTTGTGAATAAGGGTATACTACTAACTGAGGTGAATGGGATTCTCTTTGCTCCAAAGACATTCAAAGAACATGTTGACATTGCTAGCAATACTGGTATTGTTAGTATGTCTGGTCTGAATAGACTCTTCCCTAAATATGATCCTGACATGTTGATCTGTTTCCTGAAGAACATGGAACTTTGTCAAGAATTGGATCCATCTTTCCTAAGAATGACAAACCTCCATCAGTTAGCAGTGGGAGAGGAAGAGGAGGGAGGGAGAGAAAGAAGAGGAGAAAGGTTGTTGTTTTTTCCATGTCTTCTGTCTACTGATAGACCTGATGAGATGACTAGTGAAGTGTACCAGTTCGGTTGGTGTCTACAGTGTACTAGTAAACATCATTTCTTTCCTCCTCGATACTTCCACGTCCTCTCATTACATCTTGCTTACAAAATGGCTCTACCTCAAGAAGACGACAAGTTAAATCGTTACTGTACATTTTGGAAGAATGGTCTTTATTGGTTTAATGGTCATGGTGTAGGATCACTGGTAGAGATTGTGGATGAGAGCCAGTGTGTACTAGTAATGATGTCCTGTGAGAAAGGTTACAGTGACAATATGGTGTCTCTAAGAAGAGATGTGATAGGAGAGGTAATGAGTGTTTATAAAGAATCCTGTCCCAGTCTAGAGGTAAAAGAGTTAGTTATTGATCCTAAAGAACTAGCCTATCCTGTGAATACACCAAGAGAAAGGACAGTGTATAGTGTAAAAGCTGTACTCTCAGCAGTAGTTGAGCAACGACCATTTCTAGTTACCACTGGTACTAGACGTACAGAATTGAAGGAGATCCTACCTGATGAATCTTTATCAAATATTAGTAACCTGTCACTATTAGGAGGACGTGATATTAAGGTAAGAATTAAGACACACAAACTGTTTGATACATTAATACAAGCACTAATAATCAAAAGGTCATAATTATCTTAAAAGTAATTTTATTTCTTATCAAAGTTACTCAGTCTTTGTCATAATTGTGGGTTGTCATTGTGTGGCATTTATTACTAATAATATATACTTGTACATCTGTTAAACTCACCTTTCAGCATTGCACTACTGATGTATATTATTATTGTATAGGAAGTGATTGAAATAACTGAAGAATTCAAGACACAATTGACTCTAATAAAGCTAGGTATATAGACTGTACAGTGTATATACACATTATTATTATTTTTATAGATATTAAAGATCTTGATACTGTCATCATAGTATTAACATCAGATCAGCACTTGCCTTGTGCTGTATGGCGTAGACTAGGTCTACAGTTAGGCTTATATGATGACAGGTTAATGACTATAGACACTGACTACAGAGGACAATCAGTGGAGTGTTTTCATGCTTGTATGTCTGCCTGGTTAAGAGGAGAAGATAAAGTGAGAGAGAAAGGAGGTCCCAGTTGGTCATCATTAGCTACAGCACTGGATACAATAGGAGAGAAATTTATTGCTAGTTACATTAGAGATAAATATTGCAATCCTTCCTCATAGCTAGTTTAATGTGTTCATTCATTGTCAGTGTACTAATTAGCTGAGCTGTCATCATGTACTAATTTCCCTATCTCTATAACTAGAATTATTACTGATAGCATCAAACTATGTTTATTATTATAACTAATTTTTATGTACTCTAATGAATATTATATGTACTGCTGTAAAAGGAAACCTAATTATATTTATAAACTTGTTGTTGCTTTTGAGCTTGATCTGGGCACATGCACAGAATGTGCATTGAAATTTTGTAGATTACCATCTTATAAATTTTAACAGATTAAAAGAAAAGTACAGAGACACAAAGAATTAATGAAGATAAGAAAATATGAAGAAAAAAAAGGAGGGAGGGTTTATTTAAGTTGTTTTTGTGATATGTGTTGTTGCCTTCCCCAGTGCTACTTGTCTTGCATTCATTCCAAACTCCAGTGTACTGATAGTCTCTGGTACATTAGCATCCAATGGACTCACATTAACAAACATACACGCCTACAGTAACAAAACACATACCAGTATCATTATATTATAGACTATGGAAGACCATCAATAAATGAAATTACTAAATAATGAGATTCATGACTGATCCCAATAACTCATTACTCATGATGGATCAGTTAGTGTCTACTAGTATTAGTGAGTGCATTGAGTTAGCAGTTAGTGGAGTAGAGTAGAGTGTGTGTGGGTTTAATACTTTAGCATCTCCTCCTAGACACTGTTGGAGGAGGTGAGTCAGTTTTGAGTTTCTGAACGGAATGTGGAGCGAGTTCTCTCTTATTGAGGAAAACACCTAATGATAATAATAATAATAATAATAATAATAATAATAATAATAATAATAATAATAATAATAATAATAATAATAATAATAATAATAAATAGTCATTATTATAATCTTCTCTTTCCTTACTTGTCCTAAAGCTGATAATGATTTATTGATGGCAGCTGCTTCCACTAGTCTCAGTCCAGTTGCTTCACTCCTTGATATTCTCTCTGATCCCGCCAGATCAACTAGTGTGAGACTACCTCTTGTGGTAGTCTTGGATACTGAATTATAAGAAACCAGGACCAATCTGAGGAGGAGATGAGACCTTGAACTGATGAAGGAGAGAGAGAGAGAGAGGAATATAGTGAGATATGACATTAATGAGAAGTGACTGTATCGTATTGTCAGTCAGTAATAATAATAAAATAAATAATACAGACATTTTTAAACAGGAGATTAATAAGTAATTGATCCCTGGGCTACTTATTAACCTCCTTGGGATCACTTGATGGTAAGTAAGTTATTTATAAACTGAAATCAAGTCCAATCTGATTTCTCAGTTACAACTATATGGATGTTATAGTATTATTGCTGTACCTGTTAGTGTTCATTTTAGTTGAAGCTGTTGTTCTGTTCTTCTCTCCAACTGTCATAACTTTAATAACATCATCAGTGGAACATACTTCAATCTCTGTCAACCCCTGAATACAACAAACAAATAAATAAATAGTATTATTATTATTATTATTTTATTTATTTATTTGTATCTTACTGGTACGTGTAGTTCTTTTCCTTTTTTGTGTATTTGAAGTTTCTCTTGTACTTCATTTGGTGACTTCAATAGATCATAAATTGACTCATTGTACACTTCAACCATTGACACCTAACAACATACAAAATATCAATAATGAATCACTTCCCACACACCATAAGGACATCAATATGTATCAGAAAATGTAGTAAAAATTTGAGATGATTTTGAAGCCATTTTTTGAAAAAAACCATGGGCTATAGTACAGGGATTTTTTCAGAATTTTTGCATTTTCTTAAAATGGCCGTAACTTGAAAAATTGAACTCGGAATCAGCTCAAACTTGCTACACAGCATAAGGACATCAATATGTATCAGAAAATGTAATAAAAATTTGGAATCATTTCGAAGCCATTTTTTGAAAAAAAACCCATGGGCTATAGTACAGGGATTTTTTTAGAATTTTGGCGTTTTCTTAAAATGGCCGTAACTTGAAAAATTGAAGTCGGAATCAGCTCAAACTTGCTACACAGCACAAGGACATCAATATGTATCAGAAAATGTAATAAAAATTTGGAGTGATTTCGGAGCCATTTTTTGAAAAAAACCATGGGCTATAGCCTTAGGTACTTTTCAGAATTTCGGCATTTTGTTAAAATGGCCATAACTTGAAAAATTGAATTCGGAATCAGCTCAAACTTGCTACACAGCATAAGGACATCAATATGTATCAGAAAATCTAATAAAAATTCAAGATGATTTTGGAGCCATTTTTTGGAAAAAACCATGGGCTATAGTACAGGGATTTTTTTAGAATTTTGGTGCTTTCTTAAAATGGCCGTAACTTGAAAAATTGAAGTCGGAATCAGCTCAAACTTGCTACACAGCATAAGGGCATCAATATGTATCAGAAAATCTAATAAAAATTTGGGGTGATTTAGGAGCCATTTTTTAAAAAAAACCATGGGCTATAGTACAGGGATTTTTTCAGAATTTTGGCTCTTAAAATGGCTGTAACTTGAAAAATTGAAGTCGGAATCAGCTCAAACTTGCTACACAGCACAAGGACATCAATATGTATCAGAAAATGTAATAGAAATTTGAGATGATTTCGGAGCCATTTTTTGGAAAAAACCATGGGCTATAGTACAGGGTTTTTTCCAAATTTTAACATTAATGTAAAAATGGCTGTAACTTAAAAGATTAAAGTCACAATCAGCTTAAACTTGCTATGCAGCATAAGTACATCATATATACAATGTTCTTCATTAATTGACTTACTTTCATTTCAAAGTCAGTTTTATCCTTCTCCTTCATAATATTAAATAATTCCTTTATTGATCTTACATTAACTCCAGGGTTATCTCTTGGTCCCATCATAGTGTATGTCTTCCCAGCCCCAGTCTGTCCATATGCAATAATACACACATTGTATCCATCAGCACATGAGGTGATGATTGGTCTGGTATCCTCAAATACCTGGAGAATGAAAGGAGAAGAAAGAATATTATTACTAGTTTAAATCAGCTACTTTGCTAAAGAAGAAGATTAATGCAATAAAACTTTTGGACTATTTCTCATTAACTACCATAGCTCATGGTATAAGTTTCAGTATCTGCATGCACATTATAATTAAGTTCCTTTTCTTACCATATCTTGTGTTGTTTTAGGACTGTATACTTTCTCAAATTCATATTTTCTTTTCTTTCCATTGGCAGTAGTAACACTCACAGTGTCCTCTCCTTCAAAGCTCAATGAATCACTGGTGCTCCTCTCATCATGTCTGCACCTGCAGAACACTCTAATGTTACCTCTCAACTCCTGAACCTATGAAGGAATGGATGAATGGGGTTTAGTAATAAAGGCAAGTAAAGCAATTAAACTAGGGGCAATGCATAAAGTGGCAGAATCTCAAGGAATCTTTACTACATTTGCAGAATTATTGTTCTGCTGGTATACCAAGTAGATGCATTATGCAATAGAATGTATAGACATAGACCATATTTTAGTGCCACTACACTCCTCAAAATTATGCTATTATTATTGTTATTACTATCATTGTTATGTTACTTGATTAAATAGCAGTTTCCTCTGAACTGCTTCTTTCCTATACAGTGCTCTAGTCTCTTGGAGTGCAGCCGATTGATGCTCAAACCTTACCAATAAACCTCTGACTGCTTTTGACAACTAGAAACAATAAATAATAGTATTGTTGTTATTATTATTATTATTATTATTATTATTATTATTATTATTATTATTATTATTATTATTATTATTATTATTATTATTATTATTATTACTATTTTTGCTATCAAATTACTTCATTCATTTGTTCAGTATGTGTCCTAACACTTTTCTTCAGTTGCTGTCTCGTTGTATGCAATTTGAATTTAACATTCCTAATCTCTTGCAGTCCATTCTGTACAGTTGGTCTCAATATGTTCATCTTAGCAGTAATAGCAGGTAGCCTCATACTACCTCTCCCCATTGACTGCTGCAGGACTACAGACTATAAGTATCAAGTATATTAGGTTATACACTGAGGTATAATATACTAACTTGTTTTCTTTGTTCTGTTTTAAATGACTTCAATTCTTGTTTCAATTGCTCATTCTCTGCCTTCGTTTCTTGCAACTACATCAAAGTAGAGCATCATCATTTTAATTTTTAAGTTTATTTAATCTTACAATATCTTTTAATGCAGTCAGTTCCTCTTTCATTGTAGCCTTGCTTTCCCTGCATTCCTTCAGTTCAGTCTCCTATACACATATTGATATATGAAGATTTGCTTGATTATTTATACTCACTAATTCTTTTATTTTCTCCTGCAGTTTCTCAAATATTAAACTGCTACCTCCAACTTTATCTTTGAATTTATTAAAAACACCTTTATAAGAAATCATTATGATAATACCAGTAGATGTACACAACAATGACAGACTGTAGTTATTAAAGTCCTATACTAACCTTCATCATTGATTGCAATGTGACAGTTGACAGAGTCTTCAGCACTATAATTACACTGTCTTAATGTAGCAACTATTGATAGGTCATCATCCCAATCAGAACAAACGTTCTAATTATAAACAATAACAAACAAAAACAACAATAACAAAACTATTGATTTGTGTAGTAAATTATCAACATTAAAGAAAGAAGGCATGATTTTAATTTTTGGCCCCCTGACCCCCAGCATTCCCAATTAATTAATATTACTTTTGTTTCTGCTACAAGTCTTGATACAAATGGAGTCTGTCTCTCCCAAGATAGTGGCATTGGTAACCAGCCATGATTACTTTCATCAAAAAAGTACATCACATTCAATGACTCCTGACACAGTATAATCAATAATTATTATTATATTTATTATCAAACCTGTCTCAGTAATGTTGTTAGTTTCCCCCGAAATGGGTGAATCAATTCTCCTTCTCTATCACCATTTGTCTGTATAAGAGAGAATTTTAAATTTTGTGCCAATTATTGATAATACTTGTCATACTTTTGTGTCTAAGTTTTCAAACTTTCCCCCTTTGATCCATTCAGTCGGAAACACTCTCCACTTCTATACAATTAAAAAATTAATTTAATTTAATTAATAAAGAGATTACAATAATGAAACCAAAGAATATAGTGCAAATGAAAATTGGAAAATACAGTGAGAATACCGTATGGTTGGTAAATTTCGTGAGGTATTAATTTTCGTTAATTTCGTGGTCAATTTTTATCCATGAAATTTTAACCCCTACCCACCCACACATAAAAACTAATTAATGGCCATGCAGAGCTCTAACCACCATTTCCAAGCTAGTGGAGGAGCAAAAGTCTTTGTCTATTACTCCATATTCCACTATAAGCCATGTGTTGGAAGCTAGTCCAGTAGATCCAAGTGAAAAGAAGTTTGCTAACTGCCATCCACGAATATTTGTACCCACGAATATTAGCTTCTAAGGACATTTTGGGGAAAACACAAAATTTTGGACCCTCGAATATTACCAACCGTACGGTACATCAATATTGAAGGGTTGCCAAAAATATACAATAGCATCAATAATAGTGAACGCAATAAATAATGGACAATTTATGTAGTAAAATGACAGTGTTTTGGCATCTTTTGGCATCTTTTAGAAGCAGTAACTTGTGGTCGCTGGCCAAATTTTTAGTTCTTAAAAACTCCGAAATCAGCTCAAACTCTTTTACAATGCTAAGGGTAACAGTGTCCCTTATATGTCATGAGCTATAGCTAGTGTCCATTACTAAAGGCTATAGTAAACTCACTTGTTCTGCCCAGTCCACATAATACATGCTTCCATCTTCAGCACAGTGTACAGTGTACTCATTATTATCAATAGTTTTAAATATCTTGAACTCAGGACCCTGTCCAGTGACTGCAGCAGGTGAAGGAGAAGAATGAGAGCCAGTAGGAGGAGATGAGGAAAGAGAGTGTGGTTCCTCATGACGGGGCCTTCTCTTTCCTCTGCTGTATTGAGGTGAGTTACTGTGTAGTACTGGCCTACTCCTCCTTCTATCACCATCACCTAATAATGAGTGATAATCAGTATTATAGTATATGCATCCTCTTTACTTTCTCTGTTTTCTGTTGGAAGGTGTTCTGCTCTTATGCTCCCGTCCTCGTTAGACTGGGCTACAACAACGTGTACTCCTGGTTGTGCTTTTGAAGCTCCAGCACCCATCTTTGTTTTGCAAATAAACCAGCCCCACCCTTCACATTCCGCCACGCCTTAAAATTATTGCATAATATTGGCTGCATAGAGTTGCAGGAAACAAATTTAAGGAAAGAGAATGGAAAAGTGTAACTTGCAACAGAACAGTTGAACATAAAATTAACAACAAAAATACATGTACAACTCAATACAGCATACTATAAGCTACATCAGTCAAAAGGGGACAATGTTTCATTGTTATCATTATTTCAACGAGATTTCATTTCAGTAAATTTAAGAGTGATTAGTCTCCAAGTAACCCAAATGATTCCTTGTCGATTTGTAGTTGAAGAATTAAAATATTGACCATTAAGATTTGAAAAATAGCACCTAGTGTACCACCAAGCACCAGTGAAAGTCTGAGCACAATCATTGCCATCATTGTCTCTATCTCTTGTACTGAATTTCCTTCCATTATGACCAGTCATACTATCCTCAGCAGAGCCAGAGTTATAGTCTCCTACCTTTAGTATAAAGTCAGTGCTAGCATTACTGATACTGAATGTAGAGTAGTTAGCATAAGCTGTGTTCCCTTCAAAGTCTTCCAGGTCCACTCTTAGTGTGTTTGATCCTTCTTTAGTAAGACGATAAATCTTGCTCAATCCTAACCAAACCTCACCAGTAAGGTCACCAAATCCATTCTCGTAGTCAGTCCAGTATTTATAGAAATCAACAGATCCATCTTGTCTCCTCTGAAATACAGTCCATCCACCACCATCAGTCTCCATATCACAGTATACCTGTGATCCAATAGTGTATAATTATAAAGTACTAGACGAATGTAAAACATTAAAGGGGCGAGCCTAAGCAAGCTATAGATTATGTGCTGTATGAGCTACATGTATGAGCTAGCAAAGCAATTGCACATGTCTAAATTCAGTATCTTGTAGTCATCTTGCTTAAATTAAAGTTATCTTGCTTATAGTTAGAAGCAGTCACTGAACAAATCATGTTTGAAGATTGTATATCTGCTTTGTTTACCTAGGCTTGCTCCTAGAGAAGAAACATCACCTAATGATGCATGAATGCAGCCAGCAGTACAGTACATGCAGCTAGCAGTACAGTACATGCAGCTTTCTCACTTGCATTCACCTTAGCAGAATCCTTTATACCGAGGAAAAGACTGTATATCTGCTCTCCCAACTTTTATTCTTGCTAGAGAAGTTTCAGACAGCAGTTTAGCCTTATCTAGCTGACCGTTTCCTGCAAAGTAAGCTCAGACTTGCTTATGGCCGCCATTTTATCATTGTGACCACACCCGCTTTCAATGAAGATTAGGCTATTTAACTTTAATGATAGTTAGACGACCCTATCATGCCCGTACATACATACATACATACAGACGCTTTCTCGCTTCAGTGGGGCGAGCTCAGGCTCGCCCCAATAATACAATTAAACATTACTTGGAAAGCTGGTCCATTATCTGGTTTGATAGGATATACTCCATTTTGTTTAACTCCCAGTTCTTTCCAAGCTTTACAATCAGTAGGTACTACACATTCTATAAAGTCAATCATTAAAATAGTTACAATATTATTCCATTACAGTATATACCTGGTGTAGCATTAACACTAGTGTTAGCAATGATAACAACTGGGGAAGTTGTCTCCTTCTTATCATCAGGCCAGGAATTTCCATTGACAGTATTAATAATAACAATTAATATCATTAAACTGTACATCAGTTTACCAGCTAACATCATCTTGATTAATATGAATGCACAAACCTAGAAAATTTCTTTACCAGTCAGCCCCACCCTAATTTGTTGCAAATAATGCTAACTCAGCTATACTGTATACAACGCCCACACACATTAGCTATTACACATAATTAAGCAACATGCCAGTACCCATTCATCTTCCTTTGCTTGCAAATAAGGCAGCCCCACATTTTAAACCTAAAAAATTGTCTCTTTAATTGGCTTTTTCAAAATGTATAGAGTTGTAGCATATCTATGAGTACTCATGAGCAAAAACAGCAAAAATATGCTCCAAACTTTATGATTGTTATAAAGGGGACAGTATTAATTATTACGACGAATTTTCATCTCAGTAAACTTGAGATTTGTTGGTTCCCAAGAGGTCCAAATGATTCCTTGCAGATGATTTGAAGTACTGAAATATTGTCCATTAAGATTAGAGTAAAAGCAGTGATTGTACCACCAGGCACCAGTGCACTGCTTAGCACAGTCATAACCATCATTATCTTTATCTCTTGTACTGAATTTCCTTCCATTATGCTGCTCAGACAAACTATCCCAAGCAGTACCAGAGTTAAATCCTCCTACTGTTAGTATATATTCAGTGCTACCATCACTAATGCTGAATGTAGAGTAGTTAGCATAAGCTGTGCTTCCATCAAAGTCTCCCAGGTCCACTCTTAGTGTGTTTGCTCTTTTATTAGTAAGTCGCCATATCTTGTTCAGTCCTAACCAAAACTCACCAGTAAGGTTACCAAATCCATTCTCGTAGTCAGTCCAGTATTTATAAAAATCAACAGATCCATCTTGTCTCCTCTGAAATACAGTCCATCCACCCCCATCAGTCTCCATATCACAGTATACCTGTGGTGTATAATCATAAAGTATAGATTAAATACTCAATATACTTGGAAAGGCAGACCATTATTATCTGGTTTTATAAGATATACTCCACTTCTTTTAAATCCTGAATTTTTCCATTCCTTACAATCAATTGGAAATAGATTTAGATCAATGCAATCAATATTAGCTAGAAACATTAATAATTGTACATTAATATGGAATGGCATGTCATTGTACCTGGTTTAGCATTAACACTAGTGTTTGTGATGATAACAACTGCGGGAGAAGCTAATTCCTTCTCATCATCAGGACAGTTTCCATTGATAGTATTAATGATGACAATTATTATCATTAAACTGTACATCAGTTTACCAGCTAACATCATCTTCATTTATGAGAATCACCTCTGCAATCCAAGAAATCTTGTAAGCTGGCCAGCCCCACCCTAATTTTCTGCAAACTCATAACCACGCCCACTACCCCACCCACACGCATGGAGTCTCGTTCAGGTGGTGAAGGCAATCAAAAACAAACTGACAAAGAATCTAACGATGATAATGAATTAATGTACTTTCCACTTCCTCCCGGTTAGAAAAACAATAGATATAAATTAATCTGTGATTATTTAATGCCTGCAACTAATAGTAAAAGATTAGTGGGTCTACATGTATATATTTGTCCTAACACTAAGGTTGTAGAGGATGCAGTTTCAGTTGTTTGTGTTTTGTTAGGTTGTAAATTAATGAATGGTTAGTTGCAAAAACAGTCTAATTTTCACTTATCTATTTGTAATGTACATTAACACTATGAAGTAGTCAGTGCCTATTTGTCATAATAACTGACATTATAATCCTTCTTAACATCACAGAGCTGTCATTTAACAATGTAAAGGATCATGCTATTAGTCAAAGACAAGCTAGAGATGATCATAAAATAGAGGGAGGCAATAGATCAGGAGAAGCACTAGGGGAGAGAAGGAGGAAGGGGTCTGAAGGAGAAGGAATAGAGTTTGAGTTAAATGGACGACAGCTAGCTGTATTCTATGTCAGGAACAAGCTATACTGTATTGATAAGAAGTGTCCTCATGCTGGTAAGAGAGAGGGAGAGGGAGTGAGTAGTGAAGGTGACATTGTAGGCTGGAAAAAGGCAATAATATGTACATGTATATAGCTGTAGCATAAAAATTTAGCCGATTGCTTTTTGAAAAGATTTAGTAGTTAAATTTTGATCAGAATGCACTCGGTACCACTTTATAATTTTAGTGTTTCAAGCTCCAAAACAGTGTTACCCAACAGAAGCACCCACTGTACAGTAGTGACAATATAATTCATTTTTTTCCAGTTAAAATTATGTATAACGATAAATAAATAAAATATTATCCACAAACTGGTAACTGGTATCATATACTGATACAAAATTCACTAGATTACCAGTAATAGCATCATATATTCTTAGTATGTAGTACTGTATAGACACTCCACCATAAACTGTAGGAGCGTCCATGTTATATCAATAGTAGAACAGTTGTCAACTGATGAGTTAATGTTAGTAACTGGTCCCAGATAACCAAATACAGAAAGTGAAATGTCATTAAATGTTCCTACATTATTACTCAATTTCTCTTTCAATAGGTGGTCCTCTTCATTTAGGTGACATTGAAGACTGGACTGGTTCGAAAGGTCCCTGTATAGTCTGTCCTTGGCACAAATATTGTTTTGATATGAGTACTGGCTCTATCCTTCATCCGTCAAGTAGAACTGAGCGTTTGGATGTATATCCAGTGAAGGTTGATGAGGAGACTGGAGTCATATTGATTGGATTCAAGTCATTTCATGAATCACTTTTTAGCAGCTGTAACTTTTAAATCAAATAAATATCAAATTATCATCACACACACTCTCTCTCTCATCAGTTTTTAATGAACTTGTGCGGTTGGCCTGATATAAATATTATTAACCTAAAAATAATAATTAATAATAATAATAATTAATGAGAATATCAGCTTACTTCCATTCTTGGTGGTGCTGAATCTGCTGATAATGCAAACAGAACAGCTGAAGCCATATCAACTGTCTCTAGGGGTTGACCCTACACAACATGAGATCGAGAACATGTAACAGGAAGTGTAATAAAAATTGAGAATTTGCTACCTTTCATTTTTGCCATTTCTAGCAAAATTTGGCCTGACACTATGTATTTATTATACAGGGACTTTGATCCAAATTAAAAAATTGATCCGGAATCAGCTCAAAGTTGATACACAGCTTAAGAACATATGCATGTGTCAGGTAAAATATAAAAGTGGAGAATCTCATTAAACAGAGCATTACATCTATTATTAATTCAACAGTTAAAACAATATTTATCTCTAATGTTAGTAGCAATGTGATGCTTTCCTTCTTTATCCAGTGCTGTAGCTAATGATGACCAACTGGGACCTCCTTTCTCTCTCACTTTATCTTCTTCTCTTAACCAGGCAGACATACACTGTCTGAAGCACTTCTTAGAGTCTCCATTATTATCTTCATTGATGTCTTCTAGTGTAGGCTGATAGAGTCCTAGCTGAAGACCAAGATCATGCCATATATAGCAAGGTACTTGATTGAGTATTGTTAGCTCTTCAATGACAATATCAAGATCTTTAATATCTATAAAGATAATAATCAAATTGAATTACACACTCCAATAGTAAAGGGACTGATCCATGATCCCTGCATATACTCCCACTAATGGGTACAAATTACGGACATACCTAGCTTCATTGCAGTCAATGGTGCCTTGAATTCTTCAGTTATTCCAGTCACTTTCTATACAATAATAATAATAATAATAATAATAATAATAATAACTGATATTTGTCAGTGTGCATGCTTGCTTATCAAGGTGATATACATCAGTACTGTATAATTTATTGTAGTAGTAAATTAAATTAAGCTATGCACCCAATAATGATAAAGGCTACAAGCAATTTAGTGACTTGGGAATGATCATGCATGGGCCCACAAGATTAAGCTTTTATTAATGTTTGTGTGTGTTATAATTTTTACTTTAATATCACGTCCTCCTAATAGTGACAGGTTACTAATATCTGATAATGATTCATCAGGTAGGATCTCCTTCAATTCTGTACGCTTAGTACCAGTGGTAACTAGAAATGGTCGTTGTTCAACTACTGCTGAGAGTACAGCTTTTACACTATACACTGTCCTTTCTCTTGGTGTATTCACAGGATAGGCTAGTTCTTTAGGATCAATAACTAACTCTTTTACCTCTAGACTGGGACAGGATTCTTTATAAACACTCATTACCTCTCCTATCACATCTCTTCTTAGAGACACCATATTGTCACTGTAACCTTTCTCACAGGACATCATTACTAGTACACACTGGCTCTCATCCACAATCTCTACCAGTGATCCTACACCATGACCATTAGACCAATAAAGTCCATTCTTCCAAAATGTACAGTAGCGATTTAACCTGTCATCTTCTTGAGGTAGAGCCATTTTGTAAGCAAGATGTAATGAGAGGACATGGAAGTATCGAGGAGGAAAGAAATGATGTTTACTAGTACACTGTAGACACCAACCAAACTGGTACACTTCACTAGTCACCTCATCAGGTCTATCAGTACACAAAAGACATGGAAAGAACAACAACCTTTCTCCTCTTCTTTCTCTCCCTTCCTCCTCCTCCTCTTCCACTCCTAACTGATGGAGGTTTGTCAATCTAAGGAAAGATGGATCTACTTCTTGACAGAGTTCCATCTTCTTTAGGAAACAGATCAACATGTCAGGATCATATTCAGGAAAGAGTCTAGTCAGACTAGACACACTAACAATACCAGTATTGCTAGCAATGTCAACGTGTTCTTCAAATGTCTCTGGAGCAAAAAGAATCCCATTCACCTCAGTTAGTAGTATACCCTTATTCACAACAACCCATACCTTGCCTTCACTTTTAAGAACACTGATCAAACCAGTTGACTGCAACGAATGAAGAGCATCTAAGACGTCTTTTCTTTTATCTAATAAATTATATTCATTATTGTCCTTAGTAGCAGACATTACATCAGAGAGGGTCAGTATATTCTCTTTCCTTTCCTCCAGTAGACCATACATCATGTGACAATAAAGACTCAAATTCTTTCCACTTGTACTACGAATGGACTCACAGGCACTAGACAGTTTTTTAAAGAAGGAATCCATACCACTCCCACCAAGCTTACGACAATCTAAGAAGACTCTATCGCATTTTTCCCTTACAATAATCTCTTGTATTTCTTCCTTTCTCCTTCTCCTTTCAACAGGATCAGTAATCACATCCTTATGACTGACTATTACAATAACATGGCATTCATTAAGAGCTTTCTGTGCTTCATTTCTCACAACTGTTAGCCACTGATGAAACTGTTTCACTGCTTCCTTCTCCAGTATATTGACTACTATCAGGAACACACCACCAGAACCTTGTAACAGATTCTCAATGACAGCACTGTGACTAGAGTAGTATTCTGAATGACCAGCAAAATCATGAAGAATGATGTTACCCAGTGTCTTGTGTTGTAGTTTATAAGGAATGATGCCAGCAGTACAGGGCACTACCCCTCCAACATTTCTAAAGGAACCAAGAAGCGTAAAACTAGCTGTGTCATTGATGACGTGACTAAGAGTACTTTTACCAGCTCCAGGATTACCCACAAGGAGAACGTTAACAGAAGAATCAATTGGATGCGATGATTTCAAATTACCAAACTGTTTAAAAATAGGAAGGTTATTGGCGATACTCTTCTGCTGCCACTCTTTAGCTATAGCTGTAATGGTGTTCTCCCTTCATCATTTTTAGCCAGTGGATCACATTTACGAGTCGATAGTAAGCATTCAATAGCTTCAGAATGGCCTAAATCAGCAGCCAAATGAAGAGGTGTTCGTTCCCTCCAATCAACGGCCATTACATCACAGTGACACTCATCAATGAGATACCTCATCACATCAACATGGTTACATTGTGCAGCATAATGAAGACAGCTCTGGCCTGTACCATCTCTTTCGTGTGGGTCACAGTGATACTTGGTGACCAATTCTTTTGTAACAGCTAGCCAGCCATTTTTTGAAGAAAAGTGGAGTAAACTAGTATTATCCCATATTATATATTTTCTTTTAATTCTCTTTGGTTCCTTCACTAATGGTAGTAGGCGAACAGCTTCTTCATGATCTCGCTCTTTAAATGCAAACCAACATGACTTGTCCTCAAAATCGAGGTCAGAAGACATCTTGGCTTATGCTGCAACCATAGATAGACAACTTAATTAGCAGCAACTATCAGAAAATCACTTGTGTAAAAGTGTAGAGAATAAAGCCACTGCCTAAAATAAAAAATCCACTATTGGTAATTTTTAGCCCCACCCAAAAGTCCCAAATATGCATCAACCTCAATGTACTATGTACATACTCAGTGAATTTATCTTGCATTCCCTTTATAGTACATAGGCGTAGGAATGGGGGGGGGGGGGGGCTGAAGCCCCCCAACTTTTCAGCAAAAGGGGCTTAGCCCCCATGTTCACATGCTAAGTCATGCTTTTTAATGTTGAGCCCCCTCAACTTTTGAATCATTCCTAGGCCTATGTAGTATGCCTTATACTGGCACTGATAATCTGACGAAACTGAACAAGATTAAATGTACATCAGTATTATAAAAGTTTTCAGAAAAACTACTTTCTCTGTTTATTCTGCATCTAAAAAGTTTGTGTAACATTGGAAACTAAAACTGTTGTGAGACAAAACTTGAACTGTCCAAGTGATAATTTGAACATAAACTCCATGCCAGTTTGGATAATAGGTTCAGTGCATGAAGATTACTCATGAATTGCGTTGATGCAAATTGCAGTCAAGTCTTATTTTTAAATGACTTTTAGCAGCTTTAGTTTTTTTACTAAAATCAAAAAAAATTCAGGCATCACAAATGTTAATAATACTGACAAGCACTTTCTCCATTTCTTTTTAATGAACTTGTGCGGTTGGCCTGATATAAATATCATTAACCTAATAGTAATGATTAATAATAATAATAATTAATGAGAATATCAGCTTACTTCCATTCTTGGTGGTGCTGATAATGCAAACAGAACAGCTGAAGCCATATCAACTGCCTCTAGAGGTTGACCCTACACAACATGAGAACATGTAACAGGAAACGTAATGAAAATGAAGAATTTTCTACTTTTCATTTTTTGGCAAAATTTGGCCTGAGACAATGTACTACAGTACAGGGACTTTGGCCCAATTTTGGAGCAATTTTAAAAATTCATAAAAATTCAATTTTGATCAGAATCAGCTCAAACTTTCTACACAGCATAAGAACATGTATATGCTTTGCCTAATTTTAAAGCAACTTCAAACAACAACAGTACATGTACATGAATCAGTGACTCCCCTCCAGTCATTACTCACATTATACACTAGTGAGTCATAGTCTTTCTTTGACTGCTCTATATCAGCAGCTTTTGAAGCACGTCCTCTGAACTCAGTACGAACTAGACCAGGAGATATAGCCTATTAATAATAAAAATATTATAAGTTATTATAATTATTGATTACTGTTATTCTAGTGTTGGTTTTCATTTCTCTCAATTCTTGTCTTATCCCTTCAACTAGTGCAGTCACAGCATATTTAGTGGCACAATAGAAATGAGAATAGTTAGTAACACGATGACCAGACATACTATAAAAACAACGATAAAAATAATAACAACAATAATAACAACAATAATAATAACAGTGCAAGAAAGTATCTCTGTTATACAGAGGTGTCTTTTATGTGGAGTTTATTTTATACAGTAAGGAATGTAATTGGTACACTAGGTGCTGTCCGTTAAATGGAGGTGTACGCTATAGAGAGCGTCCACTTTAATAATACTATTAATTACCTGTTTATGAAGACAATATGTCCATCATCAATTTTCCTTGATTTGATATCATTCATAAATTCACGAGTTATAACACTAGGGGCCAGTACATTCACCTAACAATAATCCACCATAATAAAACAGGTCATTATTTACAAGCTTTTATAAGTTATACAGTCAATCCTGTCTATTCCGGACACCTTGGGACCCAATAATACCCTAGCTCCTGATTATGAACCTGTCCTTATTTCAGAGGTTCATTAATACACATTACTATTGTATTGGGACTGATACTACCCCTCCTCATTATAGAGGTGTCCTTATTTTAGAGTGTCCACAATAGGAGGAGGTTATACTGTTAATATTCATTAAACTCACATCAAGCATGTCCCTCCAGTCATCAGTGCTACCAGTCAGTAGTGTCCCATCATGAGAGACTCCAGCATTATTAATACACACATCAGCTCCACCTCCATTGGTCTCCTCTTTGATCTGTTTGAAGACTCTTTTTACTTCTTCTTCATTCTTCACGTCACATTTGATGGCTATCAGTTTACCAGGACTACCTGATAACTGATCTGACAGAGCCTGCATGTAATCACAAATACTTGAAATAATATAAGATAAGATTAATGTTAATATTCATATTATTATTATATAACTCTTGCTTTTTGCAGGTCAATTATGATTAATTGCAGCAATAATTACGATACTTGTCATTGGTACTTTTATAAAGAAATCGCTATTAATTATAAAATCCACAAATTGCAAAGAATTCACTAATTCACACTCACACCAATAATTCAGCAATTTGAGCAAGACAAAAATAATTTTGATGACACTTTTTTGATGAAATAAACTTATGCTAATTGTCATTCTAAAGGTAGCAAGCAGATCACGTGATCCCTCATAATTATCAATTCCTCCCATTACCTGTATCTTCTGTACATTCCTTGCTGCCCCGTACACTATCATTCCACTAGTCACCAACTGGCGGGCTATCTCCTCTCCTATACCTGCACTGGCTCCTGTGACTAAAGCAACGCGACCAGACCACCTCTCCATCTTTAAAGTTATGCAAGATTGCAGCAAAAATTGCCCACCAACGCCCACGCGTTGAAGGTGTGGCTCATTAATCATAATGAGCACACCTACTTCTCCTATTAGTAATAAAATGGAGTCCATTCGCCTTAGGATTCGTTTCCAATTCCCCGTCCCTTCCCTTCAGTATAATCGTAAAGTCTGGATGCTCTTCAATATCAGTGATTGTAGGTTCATATCAGACCTCTCTTATCTCATTGCTGATAGATATGGTCTCAGTAATCAGCCATTACTCCTTCACATGGACCATTACTTGCTCCCTCCTCTTGAAAGCATTAACATCATTAAGGATAATGACGTGATTGATGTCTCCTTTAAACTAGGGGATGAGGTGGATCCTAAAAAGGGGAGAGGAATAGCAGCAGAATGGAAAGAGAAAAAGAATAAAAAAGTGACTAAGCTCATATCCGGTTCAAGCAATAGTAGTAGCAGTAGCTCTGAATCTGACTCTAGTAAAGAAGCAGAAAACAAGACAAAGCACGTTAAACTGGCTTTAACTAGCAGCAGCTCAGAATCAGACAGTAGCAGTAGCAGTACTAGTGACAGTAGTGATGACGAAGTGCTTCTCAAAGAGTCAGTGGATGTTAAATCAAGTAAAAGCTCATCTCAATCCTCCAGTCTCAGATCTGGAACTAAACCACGTGTATCTGAAATTAAGGCCAGGCCACACCCGACTAAACCATTAACCAGTAGCAGACCATCGACCAGTAGACCAATGACCTTTAAACTGTTAAACAGCAAATCTTCAACCAGTAAACCGTTTGCTTCTAAGACAACGACCACCGATAAATCTTTGAATCCTAAACCATCAGCTAGTAAATCGTCTACTAAAAAGCTATCGGTCAATAAATCATCAACCATTAAACAAACTAGTACACCAGTGACCGATGTTCCTGCTCCCAATAAACTTCCTACTAGACCTTCAACCACCAAACAATCAGTCACAAAGGCAGTACAGGGTAGTAGCAGTAGTAAGTCATCTCACGTTTATTTCTCCAGTGATGATGATGATAATGCGTCATTAGTTACAGAAGTAGTAGAGGAGAAAGAGAAAGTAATAAAGGAGGAAAAGGATTATTCCAAATATCCTTCTCTTGTCTCCATTCCTTCCATTGGGTCTGTGATTGCTTTTAAAACATTAGAACTATCACCCATAGATTATACTCCATTACTGTCTGATTATAAAGAAGGGACAGTCCTAAATGTAACCGATGATCAGTTACTATCATTACAGTTGGATGATGATACAGTGTCTAAGGAAAAGATTAAAGCAATCAAAGAGACTGAAGGAAAGTTCTCTCTACCTGATACTGAGCCTTATGAACCAGAGAGGGAAATCAATATTAGTTTTACTGAGCTAATAGAAGCTAAACTCTGTAACTAATGAAATAGATGGTTATCAATCGTTAAACACTTAAGTATCATGTACATTGTATAGTAATAATTGTTATAAACTAGAACCTCTATAGAGGTTACTAATCACAATCAGGCCCGCTGAGAGAAGACATGGGGCCCAGGGGAAGATTAAAACTAGGGGCCCTTTGCAATAAATAATTTCTTTATTATTACCAAAAATTGTATGGGGTGTGGCTAGGCAGTCATGCATGCCTAGGCACATGTGCAAGCACAA